ACAGCCATCATTTATGATGGCCCAGAACATCTCAAATCACACACAGGTAGTGTTTGTTTAAAACTGAGTTCCTTGTTGAGACTTTTGTTCAAAGGCATGTTGGTCTTTTGTTTAAGTATGTAGAAAAAGAAATGTAGTATTCAGCTCATCACCTAACAGCTGCACTTTATGGTTCAAGCAAATATTTTAAACAAAACACGTACTTTCAATAGCAATTCGGGAAGCTCTGCAAGTTTGACCAAAGCACCAGATGAAAAGTTCCCAGTCATACCGGGTGCCAATCCAAAAAACATGTTTATTTTTTTTGCCAACTCTGGAAAAGCTGAAAATGCTATGAAACCTGGAAGAAGGAGAAACACAAAAGACATTAATAGAACTTAAACTATGCTGCTGAAAAAAATCAGTAGGAAAACAATTTGTTGCATATTCCACAAAAGCAATTGTATTTTTCATAACTTTCACAGCTTATGGCTGGCATCATTAAGGCAAAGGGGACTTTGTCTGTGCCTGAACAATTCTTTCATCTATTTTTCTTTATAAAACCAAAGCAGCTTTCAAAATAATTAAACACTCTGAAATTTGATATAAAAGCCTCTTTTGCTATGCTGAAAAAAACTTGATTTCTTTTTTCCACAGGCAACGGCTGTGTTACCTAGGGTATGCCATTTTTAAATTAAGCAGGCAACAAACCAGGAGGAAGATTTAATCCATTGTGCAGACACACTGTATTCCACATATCCTTTTATACAGTTCAACTGAAATTGGGATGTTCATTTGGTCCAAGACATCTTAATTCAATCCAGAGTGACTTCAAAACTCTAAAGTCTTCATTCAAACTTTCATACTTTCCATTATTTAACTTTCCATTATTTAAAATATGTCTTTTCTAAGCTAATACCCTTCAGATTACACATTCCACAAGCTAAAGTCATAATTTATCTTCAAAACATCAATTTAAGGAATACTGATTAAGATTATTTACCTCTATTTGGTGTAATTATTTTTTATCATTAAGCATTATGAAATTCAACTTCACCTATGTAGCTATTAAAATTACCAATGTTCTTTACGCAAACTAGTTTGTTAACTTACCTATGGTGGTGCCTTCAGAATGACCAACGTAGAAGAGTTTCTCCTGACCAGTTTTGTTCAAGACAAAATTTATTGAAGCAGGAAGGTCATACTTAGCCATTTCATCAAAACTAAAGAGGAGAGGGGAATCCATCAGATTTACACATAACATAAAGAAGTGGGATCCATATTAGAATAGAAGAACAGAGCTGGAAGGGAACCTGGAGGTCTTCTAGTCCAACCCCCTGCTTAGGCAGGAAACCTTACACCACTTCAGACAAATGGTTATACAATCTCTTCTTAAAAACTTCCAGTGTTGGAGCATTTACAACTTCTGGAGGCAAGTTGTTCCACTGATATTATCCAAGATGCCACACAATGATATCCAGTCAATGTGATGGAAAGATACCAGGGTTCAAGTCATATTAGGGTTCACGAGTCCTTTACTGACCTATCAAGACACTTCTGGTTTAGCTTCTTTCCTTACA